TGATCAGTTTGAAACAGTTATGACAAAGGAAAATGGAAATGGGGTTCAGTAACTAACATCTGAATAAAAAGTTTTTTATGTGTACAACATTTTTTATACGTACAACAAGTGTTGGGAAGAAAAACTTGCTGAAACTTGGTATAGTCCTTCCTTTTTTAGTGATCTAAAGTTTGAAAGAAGAACTTTATTGCGCAACAGATGTAACAGGTACAACGTATGGCAAAATATACATACAGAGTTGGTGATGGTAACATACATACGTAGTTGGTGATGCTAAAAATATCTAACAGTTCTACTAACTGTACTGAAAGATACCGGTAGGAATTCTTACAGGAGTTTTAAACATGTTGCTGTTTGCTGAGTGATATTGCATTTGTAAAGCATACTGGTAGTGATTTGTTTTTAAGGAATTGTCTTAAAATTTACGTTAAAAGGTGTAGGAATGTAGGTTTAACATTTGCATCATAGCTTTGGCACCATTTCTAACTAGTGGAACATTTTCAATGCTTCAGTGGCACAGGTCTTGGATATATGTTTGTGGATTTTCTTTGTTTAACGACAGAATCTAGGTCAGGTGTAAAATCTCGTACTGGCAGGGCCAGGCCATTCCGACAGCGTACGCTCTCCAAAGTTGTTTGTCGTTCAGCTACCGTGTGACACGACAACACGCAACAACGGTCTCCACTGACTGGTACAAGAAATGACAAAAAAACATTATTGGGGAAGGGGGGAAACTTTAAATTTTACAATAGAGGTAAAAAACTTAGGCCACACCAATTTGATTTCTTGGTTAATGGATTTTTTAAGAAAAATAATGGAGCGGGCGGGCGAAAAAAAATAAAAATAAAAACAGGCCTAAGCATCCTATTATGGTCCAAAATGGTATGATAGGAGCCATGAAGTCAACACACCAGGCTGGTTCAAAAATTGAACAATGAATTTTGAACTTTTAATGATACCAGTGCATTGAAAGATGAAATAACTGTAACAACTAGGATGAAAAGGACTATTTTCAACTGTTCAGGGCAAAATAGGAGCATTTTTCAGTTGATTCTGAATTTTTATTTTTATTTGCAAATCGGAAAAAAATGGAGCGGGCAAATCCGTTAACCAAGAAATTAAATTGGTGTGGCCTTACAAGGCTTCCTCTTAATCTTGAAAATGGCCTTCTTGCCAATTTTGTCTTCTTTGGAGTTTTGAATTGTTGCACTTCTTGGCAATTTCTTGGCAAATTCTTGCACTTCTTGGCAATTTCTTGGCAATTTTATCTTCTTTGGAGTTTTGAATTGTTGCACTTTTATAATGACTTGACTTGTGATTTGGTTAAAACTACATTATAATATTAACCAAATAAGACTAAAGATTATCTGTAAGTTATGAGCTTTTATACAATAATGTTTTCAGATATTTCAGTCTAGTTTATTATTAGTTCAAGGAAGGCTTAATAAAGTTAAGATTGCCTGTAGTCTGATACTGTAATTCCTGATTTTTGCACTGTACTGTTATGTTCACTGTTTTCACTGTCACTTCTGTACCGTGAACTTATCATTACAGTTAACAAATAATTCCTGGACTTTCTTTATTTTTCCTGCACCTGTCACCACCGTGAATATATAGTTCCATGAATATGTCCACTTTTCTCAGACTGTGAACTTTTGCTACCGTGAACATAAGTGAATTACAGTACTTCAGTTAAAAGTAAAAAAATTTGTCCTATTTCAGATAAAGATCAAAAGAAAGGTTTCTATGTTCTGTAAAGAATGTTTTTGAAGAAGGAAAATTATTGCATTGTTGAGCCAACTTAATGACAAAAATCCCTCCCTTTTTATAAGTGGGATGAGTTGGTAAGTCATATCTTACATGTTTACATAGTTTAAGCTGCTAGGAATTTTTCTACCTGTCAGGTATTTTAAACAAAGGTAGTTGCGTAGGTACCTTAAGAGGGGCCTTCGTCCTCCTTTAAGTGGTGTCTTCTTTTGGGTCTTAAGGCCACACCAATTTAATTTGTTGGTTCTCAGATTTTTTTAGAAAAAATATGAAGCGACAGGGTGAAAAAAAATAAAAATAAAAACAGGTCTTGGCATCCTTTTATAGCCCTAAATGCTACGGTAGGAGCCATGAAGTCAACACAAAAGGCTGGGTTGATATTTAAACAAAAAATTTTGAACTTTTAATCAAACCACTGCATTGATAGATGGAATAACTGTAACAACTAGTAAGAAAAGGACTTTCCTCAACTGTTTGGGGCAAAATGTGAGCATTTTTGAGTTGATTCAGAACCAGAATCTTTTTTTTTTATTTGCAAATCAGAAAAAAATGAAGAGGCGAATCCGAGAACCAACAAATCAAATTGGTGTGGCCTTAGACTACTAATGGACCGTAAGATCTTATTTTCGTGATCAGTGTCAGAATACCAATATTTATATTTCAATTAGAACCCTTCTGCTATTTCTCCTTTAATACCTGCACTCTGGCCTGGAAGATAGCTTTTGGTTATTTTAGCAAAGGCTTAAAAACGTGTTGAGAACAAGATGTTTGCCGTGTGGAACAGTGGTCCCCTTTTTTCTGCGATGTCATACATACAGGTGTGGTACTTGCCACACCCTGTTGGCCCTGCTTGCGTGCGTGCATCTAACGGTTTAGGGAAGACGCCCCAGTGTCTATGGTTTAGTTTACTTTTGGGCCAATTCCCCGACATAGCACGCTATCGCTTGAGCGTACACCAAGCATAACGGAGTGGCGAACAGTTCGCCAGTTTTTGTCCGATACAACCCCGCCTACCTTCCATTAAAAATAGTTGTTGTAGAATTATCTACCATGTAGGTTTAACTGAAGTGAACTGGGCTTATGGCAAAGGGAGGGGGTGACCTAAATGGTTTGTTTTCCCACTCCAGGCAGATGGCATCCCCTCTACTTTTGTTTGTTGATTTCCAGCAAACAAGAGAGGGAATGTCACAGCTCCGATTGCACTGGTATGTTTCTGGGCTGTTCTCCTTACCGCCTGCACCCCCTGTGGAGCTTGCTGTCACCTACTTTTTCAAGATCTAACCAAGGACATTATACAGAAGTCCTTGATCTAACGAAGACTGTCTTAAAGCTATGAAGTCTTGTTGAAAAATGTATTTCCGACTTTTTTTAATTGCAAAATGTTTTCAGACACATTAGTGGTCGCTTTTTCTTAGTCTTCTCCCTGTTGCCTAACCTCGTAACTAATTATTTTTGGTTGGTAAAATGTTGAGAATTCTGTTTTGAAGAGAGTATGAAGAGGACATAAAGTTAACATTATCATCTGATTTCGGTAGATGTTGAACAATCAAGCACTTCTTTTTTATTTCAATTGCTGCTAATTAGGCAACACCAATTTAATTTGTTAGTTCACGGATTTGTCCGCTTCATTTTTTTCTGATTTGCAAGAAAACAAATATTTCAGGCCCTGAATCAACTCCAAGATGCTCATATTTTGACCCCAACAGTTGAAGGAAGTCCCTTCTATTCAGAGTTGTTACAGTTTTCCATCTATCAATGCAGTAATTAAAAGTTTGAAATTCATTTTTGCATTACCAACCTGGTATGTTGACTTCATGGTTCCTATCATAGCATTTGGGGCTGTCATAGGATGACAAGGTCTGTTTTTATTTATTTATTTTTTTGCCCTGTCACTTCAAATTTTTCCTAAAAATTTCCGAGAACCAACAAATTAAATTGGTATGGCCTAACTGGAGAATGCCTATCATAGAATGCCTAGGTCTGTTTTTATTTTATTTTTTCACTGTGTCGCTTCGTATTTTTCCCGAAAAAATCCGAGAACCAACAAATTAAGATGGTTTGGCCTAACTGGAGACCTCCTTTGCACATGCCTCTGTACCTCAGATGCGGGCAGCCAGTTGGATATGAACCGCATTAACCAGCGAATACCGGAGTAACTGTCCGAAATTCCGACCCCTCAGGACCGTGGCATATGTAAGCCTTGTCCTGTCTGGTCATTGTTGTGTCCCCTATTGTCTTACCGTCCTGGTGTTGTCCACTCCATGCCCAGCTTGTCCAGCCCATAGAACATCTTCACTGTGACTGCTACTCAGAAGGGTTGGACAGCATTCTTTGGGGGCCTGCATGCCCTTTTTCGTAAGGCGTAATCAGGCCTTTTTAGTCTTCGTAATCCGTAGGCAGCCTCCCTAAAAATCAACGTAATTCGTAATAGGACATTAACTGCAAAGCGTAAAGTCGTAATCAGCTCTGAGGCTTTAACGTAATTCGTAATTGGTGGCAAAAATTTTGCGTGATTCGTAATCACTACCCCCCCATGCAGGCCCTCTTGTTTCAGACAAGAATGTTGACAATCCTGGAGATGTACTTCTACTAAGGGATGCTCTTTTCAAGTCTCATCTATGGCTATTGCAAAGGTGACGTTATTTGTGGATAAGTTTTCTTTTTTTTTGTTCGTTGCTATGTTATGATAATGTGTTTGTTATCATGTCTTTCTTCTACCAGGTCTTTGTTATAGTACATGTAATATGTACTGTTTATTTTTTCAAGCACAAGTACAGTATGTACAAGCAAGAGTCTTCAAAACAAGCTTAGATGATATTATGTTATAGAGTTTTGTTGTATTTAGTATTCATACCTTTGTATTTTGTAATGTATTTTTATAGGGCTGGTCACTTAAAACATAACAAAACATTTTCAATTGTCCTGTTAGAATATTGGTCCATTCATGATCCCCCTATGATGTAAAATGGACTGTTCCACCTCTGACCAAGTATTTGGCCTTTAAATGAGGTTAACCAACTACTGAACTTTTATAATTATCTAACTATAGGCAAGTCATCAAAGTCAACAAAAAGTAGGCTTTTGATAACAATATTAGAATAAAATAACATATTAGTGATTATATGATTTGGATATTAAGTAGAGTGACAATGAGGTTTGTATACAGCTACTGTGTTACACAGTTTTGGAAGGAGGGGGTTGTGGCAGTAAGTAGAAGAGCCTGGTATCAGATGAGGGGGATCTGTAGGAAACCCTACCCAAAAAGTTCCAGCTCCAAAATATTACCGTCATATCTCACCCCCCCGGGGAGCGCGTGGGGTGACAGTCGCGTGCGTTGCGCCCGTTTGTGGATTACCTACCGTTGTTGTTGTCCGTTTGTCACAACAAAGTCGGGACTCAACGTGCCAAGTCTTTTCATGTCAGGGTTTTGACAAGTTGATTCAGCGAACAAGCGAAGGTAAGTATACATGTGTGCTGTACTGAAAACCTGACAGTTCAAACTAGTGACTGCTTGTACATGAATGGAGCAAAGTTGTTGAAGAGTTTGCTTGTTGTTTGGAAGTACAAAAAGGTTATGACTAAATTTGTTTCATTTTGTTCTAGCTGTCAATTGTCTTCAACTGTGTGGCCTTGAAATATTCTGTGGCTTTGTTTTAAAAACTGCTTGTATGGACTACAGTTGTTAAAAGAGTTTGCTTGTTTTGAAGTATAAGAAGGGAGGTCATAACTAAATATGTTTCATTTTGTTCTAGCTGTCAATTGTTTTCAACTGTCTGGACTTGAAATATTCTGTGGCTTTGTTTTATATACAGTGCATGATACATAATCTAATTGGCATTGAGTGGAATGTACTTTTTAGATCTGGTTGTTTGGAAGTACAAGAAGGGAGGTCATAACTAAATATGTTTCATTTTGTTTAGCTGTCAATTGTTTTTGACTGCTTGCCCTTGAAATATTCTGTGGCTTTGTTTTATATACTGTGCTTGATACATGTGCATGTGTGCTATACTGAAAACCTGACTGTTCAAACTGCTTGTATGGAGCAAAGTTGTTGAAGCATTTGCTTGTTTGGAAGTACAGAATAGTAGTAGCTAAATATGTTTCATTTTGTTTAGCTGTCAATTGTTTTCTGGACTTGAAATATTCTGTGGCTTTGTTTTATATACAGTACATGATACATAATCTAATTGGTATTGAGCGGAATGTACTTTTCGATCTGGTTGTTTGGAAGTACAAGAAGGGAGGTCATAGCTAAATATGTTTCATTTTGTCTTAGCTGTCAATTGTTTTCAACTGTGTGGCCTTGACATATTCTGTGGCTTTGTTTTATATACAGTACATGATACATAATCTAATTGGCATTGAGTGGAATGTATTTTTCAGATCTAGTCATTTGTTTTGACGTAAGACAAACTTATACTGATACGTTATTCAAAAATGTGATGTCCTATACATTGACTGTGTGAAAATGATATTCTAAATTCTAAAAATCTGATTCTTTTAGATTTCATTTAAACAGATATTCTTATCAATCTTGGTCTTTGGAAGTTAAGGAGTTGTCATCTCGGAACCTTGTACTAACATTGTGAGATGTTAGCCTCCCTTCAAAGGAATTTCATCTCTCTAAAGAAACCACAGAGTCTACATGTCTTCTTTATCACAGCGGTACTCCAGAATGATTATCTGCATCATTACCCAACAATGTTCCTACCCCCCTCTAGAATCAATTACACAGCCAGCCCCTGATCTACCCCTCCCCAAAGGCTGGTCTGTGAAGTCCTGATTAACTGACATCAGAAGCAAATTGCCACGCTTCATTTGAAACAAAAATAGATCGCTTGGTAACCCTTTGTGTCCCTCCCCCCTCTTTAGACATCTGACACTAGATCTGAAGCTATCATATATGCTGTATTTAGGATCACACAAAGGAACCCACTTTTCCTGTGGTGAATTTAGCACGTTTTGAAGGAAAGTTGTATTTTGTTTAGCCTCTGTAGCAGGGTTATAGAACTGGGGATTTGGTGGTCTTCTGATTTCTGATTAGCCCTGTAAAAAAATGTGGGTAATTCAACCAGGCCGGCTATGTTGTCTATATGCAATCAGAAAATAGCACATAAAAGATCCCCCAAAGCCCCAGTTTTTGGCATGCTATGGAGGCTATATTTTGTTGGGCTGTTTTGGGGTTTAGGGAAAACAAACTTAGCCCCCTACTGGCCATTCCTAGGGGTCGAGGGAGTCATGCATATGATCATGGTGGTTCCAGGCCAGGAATAGGGTCGGAGATAGTTTTGTTTTCCAGTGGTGTATTTACCGAAGGGTTTTAGGGGAAAGGGCTGGGTTGAGTGGGAATCAAATTGCAGCGCTCTCTCTCTGTTTGGTTGACGGAAAATCGTTAACCTAATTTTTTAAGACCCTTGGTGTGGTTCGGAAATGAATCCGAGCAGTTGTGGAGTAGCTTTGCTTTAATCTGCGTTTATTTCATTCATTCAGGCTTTAGATAAATCGTTTTCTGAGATAGATTTATAGATTGATAGATTTATAGATTGATAATAGTATTGTCAGCTTTACACATAAGATGTTGATCCTGTTCTGCAGAATGTGTGACTATTCATTATCCACTGCCTTCAAAGAAGAAGTCAAACCCCATAATAGCTAGCGTAGTAGTAGAAGTAGACGTTTTTCCAGACAGTTGTTGCCTGTCTTCTATTACTGTATTGCAATGAGTAGTATACTTGATTGTAAAAGCAAATAGCCTTCGGGCATGATTTTGCAAATAAAGTTTCTATAATTTTAGTTTTCAGCTGAAGGTAGCTAGCATCTTAATTTGCATTTATTTCAGAGCCTTGTGAGGAAGTAAGCATTGTAGACAATTAGTTGAATATGGTGTCTACAGGTAATTTTGTTTATTGGTAAACTACTGTTTGTTGGTAAACTACTGGTTTACTTGTACTGTGTGTCCCTCTTCGGTTGGTATGCAAGCAGCCAGGCCCATTGGTGTTGTGGTGTGAAACAACCCCTGCAGTCCACACAAAGGCCTCCCCTGTACCAATCCTGCAAATTTACAAAAGCGGTTTGAAAGTTTAGTCGCCCGGAATTTCTCTGGTATGGCAGAGTTTGCCTACTGCAAATGACAGACACGTCACGGATTGTGCTGCCAGCGGCCTGGTCTTGTACAGTTGCACCAGGCAGGGCTCGAAATACTGGGTGCATGTGCACCTTAGTGCACCCAAAATTGGAGTTGTGCACCTAAATTTTTTTCAGTGAAAATTTTTTTTAGTGAAAATTTTTTTCAGTGAAAATTTTTTTCAGTGAAAATCTTTTTCAGTGAAAATTTTTTTCAGTGAAATTTTTTTCAGTGAAAATTTTTTCAGTGAAAAATATTTTTGTAGGAATTTTTAACATTAGAAATTTATAATAGTATACCGGATATTCTTGGTCTCTAAGTATCAGAAAAATAATCAAATCTTTGTTGTAGTACTTGTTTAAGATTTTGAAGTTAGCTCTCATTTTAGATTTAAGCTCAGAAGACGAACAGTAAGATCTGTAATTATGTTTTGTTTTATATGGTGCACCCAAAAAATTTCTTGTACACCTAATTTTTCAGGTGAGGAATAAAATCTTTGTTGTAGTACTTGTTTAAGATTTTGAAGTTAGCTCTCATTTTAGATTCAAGCTTAGAAGAGGAGCAGTAAGATCTGTAATTATGTTTTGTTTCATATGGTGCACCCAAAAAATTTTTTGTGCACCTAATTTTAGGTTGGGTGCACCAGTGCACCTATTCCCAAAAATGAATTTGGAGCCCCGACTCTGCTGTCATGTGGGCCCTCGCTAAACCCTGCTAACTCACCCTTTTCACAAGCTATTATCTCGGTCACACCTCCACTTTTGTCCTGCCATCAGAGGTTGAATGTAGGAGGAACATTTCAATTGTTCAGGTAAACAGAAGCTAGGAGGGAAGGCGGGCAAAAGGTATTTCATTCAGGCGTGGGATTTGAAAGGGAGATTTAAAGGATAGTTGTGGATTGGGCTTAAAAGGTGGACATGGTTGACAAGCTGATTCACTCAGCATATCTTTGATACTGTGTTGGGACAGATTTTGCAAGGCTGTTTTTTATGCGACTGTTTGAATGGATAGGTTTATATGCCTAACTTTTGCTTAGAATAGAAATGTGTAAATGTAATATAATATATAATATACATGTGTTATCATTGATATGCATATCTATTTTTTTTAAAGGAGTGGTTCAATGCAAGGCCTATATGACCACTTCTAGGCATTGAACTAGAAAGATGAGAGAAACATGGCTATGTCAAGAGATGGCGGTGAATGTTTGATTTGAAAGCCTGTAGATTGTAGGTTGGTGGGAAACACTTGTCAGGGAGGGAATTCCAAAGCTTGGCTGTACAGGGAAAGAAACTGTCACTGTAAAAAGATTTCGAACAAGGAATTTGGAGGGTGATAGCAGATATGAAAGATTTGTTGTGTTGTTTTGTGTGGAATATTTTGAATGGTCAAAAAAAATTGAACTTTTCTTTTGGTTGGCTTTCAAAAATATTTCAAGACAGGGAGGGTAGGTAATATCTAAAATGACATACTTTACCTCACAAAAATGACAGAAGTTTTGACAAAATATGCCTTTTTTTTGGGTGTAAACAGATACAACTACAGTCCTATACCCTCCTTGCCATCAGAGAAAGAAAATATTTACATTGTTCGGGCAAATTATGACACAACTATTGAACCAACAGCCCCCCTCCCCCATAAAGGAAAAGAGATTGTCGACCAAATACACAACTAATCCGGAAGTCGGAAACCACAGAGTGTAATCAACTGTAGGTAGATTGATGACATGCGTAGGCTGATAGTACCGGTAATTCATAATGGCCCAGGATATGCTTTAGGCCACAGCAAGTAAATTTTATGGATGACATCCTCCGCAGACTCCAAATCTAATGCGAGCGGGCAAAAAAAAAACAAATTTCCTACATTTTAGAATTTTAACTCAACTGTAGGCAGATTGACGACATGCGTAGGCTGATAGTACCGGTAATTCATAATGGCCCAGGATATGCTTTAGGCCACAGCAAGTAAATTTTATGGATGACATCCTCCACAGACTCCAAATCTAATGCGAGCGGGCGAAAAAAAGAACAAATTTCCTACATTTTAGAATTTTAACTCAACTGTAGGCAGATTGATGACATGCGTAGGCTGATAGTACCGGTAATTCATAATGGCCCAGGATATGCTTTAGGCCACAGCAAGTAAATTTTATGGATGACATCCTCCGCAGACTCCAAATGTAATGCGAGCGGGCGAAAAAAACAAGGCGAGCCGAAAAAAACAAGGTTCCTATATTTTAAAATTTTGACTCAATCACTGTACAAAAGGTTGTGATTCAGTGGGAACATCACATAATATACACAGCCAACATCACATATCACTGCATCAAAGTA